ATATCAACAGGAGTCCTGAGTGCTCAGCTGCTCTGGAAATCAGGTTCCTAAGATGTGGATGTTTGATTTGGTTTGATTGCTCTTGTCCTAGTTTGCTGTTTCTTTGTGGGACAATGATGGCATCTAGTGGCTACATTTGGGAATTACAGGTAATATCTTACAGGTGCCCTTCCCCAAGAAGGATTGGATCAGCGGTTCTCAACCTTTTTTGTACTAAGACCCATTTGTAAACATTGATGGCCGGTCCCCACCGAGTAGACAGTTTAAGTAGAAAACTGCCCCCTGGATCTGCCACTGCCCCTCACTTCTGACCCCCAGACCCTAGTGTGTGGGGCTGAGGGTGGGTGTGTAGGGTGGGGGGGGTGTGGGCCAAGCAGAGGCATGTTCCCCCCCAGATTTGTGCACCCACAGTGGGCATGGGGCTGCAGCCTGGCTGGACCAGCATAGCAGGAGCAGCCTCTGTGGCCCAGTGGGTGGGTCCCAGCGTGGGAGGGTGGAGTGGGGCAGTGAGACTCGCTGCTGCCGCTGTGAACCCCACACCAGCAGCATGAGGAGTAATGGACCGGGGAGCAGGGGGCCACACTGCCCTCACCTCCTCCTGCCACCAGCCACTTGCACGCTGGGCCACAGCTCTACCCTGTGCCATGGCCTAGCCGCTGCTGCTCCCCTCAGGCCACGGTTCTATCCCGGAGGGGAGGTGGGATGGCAGGCAGCACGGGTGGCCTGAGGGGAGTGGCAGCTGCTGGGCCACAGTGGCGGGGCAGAGCCACATCCCGGCATACAAGCAGTTGGTAGCAGGAGGAGGAGAGGGCAGCATGGGCTGCCCACTGTCTATTACTCTTTGTGCTGGCACAGGGTTCATGGCAGTGGCAGCAACAAGTCTTGCTGCCCTGCTCCACCCTCCTGCACTGGGATCCACGTGCTGGGCCACAGAGGTGGCTCCCGCCGCCGCCCCCCCCCCTGCCCCCCCCCCCCCCCCCCCCCAAAATGTGTTGCCTCTGTCTCCTCTGCTCCATAGATTTACCAATGGGGAGCTGCAGGAGTTGCTCTCCTCCCTGCCTGGCTGCCATGTGGATGTGTGTGAGTACATGCATGTGGCACTCCCTTCCTGATCACCCTCCTTCTGCTCCCCCCAGCCCCAAGCAGCCCCTTGCAGGCCGGAGCTCTCTGCCAGCCTGCAAGGGGAAACCTGCACTTTCCTGCATTTTTCTGATTGTTCGCGACCCTTTCTAATATTCTTGCAATCACATTTGGGTTGCAACCCATGAGTTGAGAAACGCTGGGTAAGATATGGGTTGGGCAATTATTTGGGCCGGAGAGCCACTAAGGGAGTTTTGGTGAGCTGTGGGGCTGGTCAGCACCTCCCTCCACTGTCCCCCACCCCCAACAGCTCACCAAAACTCCTTAAGTGGCTGTGCCCCATGCATGGCCAGGCAAATGGGATGGGGCTGTGGGAGGGGAGTGGCATCTGGGAGCAGGGCGGGTGGGACTGGGGCCAGGATGTAGATCACAGCGTGGTGACAGTGCAAGGCCAGGGCCCACGGCAGAGCCGTGACCTGCTTCCTGCACACCCCTATGACAGAGCCTGAGCATTGGGGCCAAGTCCAGGAGTGGCTGTTGGGGAGCAAGGCTGGCTGCCATGCCACCCCAGCTCTGCTGCATGCCCAGGGGCAGAGAGACCAGCTGCATGTGCCAGGGCCTGGGCTGCCATGGGCCACGTCAACACCTGGGCCAGGCAGGGCCGAGGGACCTGCCATGGGCCGGACAATCCCTTGGCAGGCCACCCTGGGTTAGATGCTGGAGATCAAACCATATGTGCGCATTTACACGAGTGCTGGACTGTGCAGTTGTTTAGTTACTTAAGCATTTACTAAATGATTATGCAGCAATCAGAGTCCTGATTTACTACTGCGCTGTAGGTTTGGCATCACGGTTCCTGCTTGCCAATGCAACGTCGCCATAATAGCAATGAGTTACAGCAACGTAGCTCATCACTATGGAAACACAGCATCTCGTGTAGATGCACTCTATGAGAAGGAAAGATCACAGAAGACAAACTAATTTTCCTCAAATAAAGTTTTCGGATGCGATTAAGGAAGAATTTTTGACAAACAGTTCTTGTGCACTGCTGTTCCTGCTTCTTGCAGCACCTCGATAAGTTGCTGCACCAGCTAAGGACAAAAGGAATTGTTTTGAAAAGTGCTGATAGCTTAATGTGTGTGGTTAATATTCTATATGTTTGCTTTCAGGAAGAATGCATTTGTTTCAAATATTTGCCCTGCGTCTGGGTATTCCATGAACATTCTTGGGTCTTAATTTCCAGTGAATTCCCCTTGGTTTAGGAGCTTTCCCCAGGTCTCTATACATCTTTCTTACTGGCCCCTGCATATACTATAGCACTCCAAGCCTAGAGTTTGGGCCATGAATGAAAACCACCTGGCTGAAGATAAATCTAAATAAAATGCTGGCAGTGTCCATGGCAACAGGAAAACACAGAAAAGATAGCTCCCTCTTGCACTGAGAGTGTGGGACTATTAACTGTTACTTCATTTTGCAGCCAGAAGATATTGCATCACCAAATGTTGTTAGGCCAGCATACAGCCATCATTTCTGAGAATGTTTTTCCACCAATGCCTGAATCGGATTTCTTTCAGATGTGCACCTTGCTATTGTAGGTTGTGCCTTGTCAGTACAGCACTGGCTTACTCTCACATGCTTTGTGTGGAACTACATCTGAAGTCAATCCAGAAGTTAAATCTGATCCAGAAAGCAACAATTTCTTTGCTAGAGCTTTTCAGTGGGAGAACATGATACCAGTGCTCTCTGATCTGACCATGCTGACTATTACACTCCAGGTAGAAGTTAGAGTTGGCCTTGACCTAGAGGGCTCTGAATAGCATGGGGCCTGCACAATTGAGAAATGAATTCTCAATTTGTGCCAGTCTGTCACAACTGCAGTCAGAGAGGGGTTTGACCTTGAATCTCCTGCATTTCAGAGAGGGAACTAGATACAAAGCGGGGTTTTTTCCCATTAGAAAAAGAAAGCGGTTCCTTCTGAATTCAAAACTGAAGTGTTGCTCATCATGATACTTGCCAAGGCCTGTCTGCATACTAGGATTTTGAAGGAGGAAAGGTCCTGATGGAAACTAATGCTAGGAAGGGAAGAAGGTTAGGGACTGAGAGACTAAGCTTTGTCTTGTTGAGAGACGCTGGGACCTCAAATCTTGCCTGTTTGCTCTTTTTTTTTTTTTTTATTTCCACATAGGGATGCGTGGTTAAAGCAACCACATAATATTTAACTGGTTTGTGGCACCATTGAGAAAATATGAAAACCCCCCTAATGCTTACTTAAAAATCAATTACCTCTCGTCTGTGACTGCAAATGCTACAGTACTTTAATCCTAGTGACATGGCTATTGTACGCTGCGAATGGAAGGCATGTCTCTATACCTATACCTTCTACGCCATGTTCTATACCTAACATATTTCCATTTTTCATCAATACCTCACTCTGAATTTCCTGGGGTACAGGCAAGCCCTGCTTAATGCTTTTTTGCTTAGCGCTATTTCGCAATAACGCTCATTTTACATCGATACCCGATTTCACTTAGCGCTCAGTGAGTTTCGTTATAACGCTCGCAGTTGCCATCTTGGGTCATCAAATACTTTCGGTTTCACTTAATGCTCGTTTCGCTTGATGTTCGGTTTTGCAGGAACTGATTAAAAGCGCTCAGCGGGGGTTGCCTGTATAATGCTTGGTTACAGCAATAACGATAAGATGCCTATACCTTTTTCATGCTGTTAAATGACTGATCTGCAGTGCTCATCCTGATGCTACCTTAACCTTTTTTTTTTTTTCTCGTGACATTTCCAAGTAACTCAGGACACGACGAGAAACATCCAGTCCGGCCGTGGTTCCCTCTGCAGTTCTGCAGCTGGTCGGGCTCGGACAGAGCCAGATTCTAAACCATTTCGAAAGCCGCTGGCCATGAATGACGCGCGCCCTCGGGGGCCGGGGACACGGCGACTGCCCACAGGCGGTGTGGGTGCGGCGGTGGCGAGCGGGGAGCTCCTGCAGGTGGCCGTGGCCGTGGCAGTGGTGGTGGCCGTGCCAGTCGGTCGAGGACTGGCCGTGCTGGGTCGATCGGGGTGTTGATCCACCCCAGACTGGCCAGCTGGGCCGATCGGTGACTGGCCGGCTGACCGGGGGTGGAGGTGAGTGGTGACCGCCCGCAGGCAGCGTTGACAGTGTTTTTTGCCGGCTGCCTCACATCGCTGGCCGGGCAGTTGGCAACATTTTCATAGATTCATAGATGTTAGGGTCGGAAGGGACCCCAATAGATCATCGAGTCCGACCCCCTGCATTTCTTTCTGCTCCTGTTATTTCGTGGTCGGGCAGGGGCCTGTTCCTGGCAGCTCCCCAGGCCTGCAGCCCATCCTCGGCTTTCCCACAAGAGGAGGCCTGGAGCCAAGGGCCCTCCATGTTGCCCCTTGCTCCCAGGCCGCCTGTTTCAATGCTTTTCCCTTCAACGGCACCTGCAGCCCGACACCCCCGAGACCGGCCCAGCCCACCC